TTACGTGTTATAAGCTCAGAACCAGGAGCTCTGATGCCAATTGAAGATGTGAAAAACACAAGAAGGGGGGTTGAATTGTAAAACTTAAAATCAAAAGTGCAGACAACACGTTATTTTTATCCTGGTTCGTTTGATCTCAAACTACTCCAGTCCACCCGTCAAGGTGATTTCGCCTCTCTCCAACGAGGTCTTAATCCACTATATTCAACTGAATACAATAACTACTTTAACAACTGTTAAAGCCTTCTTGAGTCTAACCACAAACTGGTTTATCTCAAGGAAATTCTCTTACAGATAATTAAACAAAAGTGTGTGTTAATGTTTTCTAACAAAACTATATATCACAAATGTGATATTACACAATATTAAGCTTAGAATGAAAACTAGACTGCTAATGCTTTTGAGTAGGCGTGGTTGAAAGCTTTAGCAAATTGTATGAGTGCGTTTGTTTACGTAGGCGTGTATATGCGTGAAGATGATTAGCCTAGACGTGTATATGCGTGTAGAGTATTAGCCTTTTCTTTTCTCACACAGTCTTGTTTAAATAGCCAAGGAAGAGATACGTTGGTTGTCCATAAATCACTTTCAATGATAATAACGTTCTTTCCTTTTTGAGAAGATCTTTTCTTGGACAAAGCCGTTGGTAATTAATCTGTCTTGAATACATAGTAACGCTTCAGAGTGTTCTGCTAATGATAATCAGAGTGTTCTTTCCTTTATGCTGACACTTCTGAGTGCTGATGACTTGGTTAGGATCTTGATCAGAGTCAGAGTATTTTATGCACAGATTCTGTTTATCAGGCTTCAGCGTATAACACATGTTATTTGATCTTCTGATGCTGATGTTGATACTGATATTCTGATGCTGATTCCATCAGAGTTTCTGTAAATACACAACATAATTTTAAGTAGCATATATGTCTTATATAAATCTTACAATTTATTTAATCTTGTATTTTGTTATCATCAAAACTCTAACTGAGGGTTGTAGAATCAAACTATGTTCTAACAGATAACTACAGATATAAAGGGTGCTAATACCTTCCCTTTCTATAATCTACCCCCCGTACTAAAAAAACATCGAAAAAGGAATTTTTCTGTGCTTTTTTCCTTTCCTTGTTGGATAAAATAAAAGTCGGTGGCGACTCTTGCTTACCGCGACATTTTGCGAAAACAAACGCAAAACGCAAACCAGCATTCCTAAAACAGTCCCGGTTCTGGCCACCGTATCACACTTCCCAAAGTAGACAGAAGAGTTATCATGACAAGCGAAGGAAATATTTATAATTTCAAGCGGGTGACCATGTGTTTTTTAGAGTTACACCTGTGACTGGTGTTGGGCGAGCATTGAAGTCTAAGAAGCTCACTTCTCGTTTTATTGGACCATATCAGATTTCAGAGAGAGTTGGGAGCGTTGCTTATAGAGTGGCTTTACCGCCTAATCTTTCGAATTTGCATGATGTGTTTCACGTGTCACAACTCCGGAAGTATATTTCAGATCCATCTGATGTGATTCATATGGATGATGTGCAAGTACGGGATAATCTTACGGTGGAGACGATGCCTGTATGGACCGCGGATCATGAAATAAAGACGTTGAGGGGCAAAGAGGTTGCTTTGGTTAAAGTGGTTTGGCTAGGAGCTGTCGGAGAAAGCATGACTTGGGAGTTGGAGAGCAAGATGCGGGACTCCTATCCTGACTTGTTTGATTAAGGTAAATTTTTGAGGACGAAAATATTCTAAGTGGGGGAGAGTTGTAACGCCCGTAATTTAATTAATTATTTAATTAAATTATTTTTGGAATAATTGATGTGTTGAGATTAGTTGGATTTATTTATTTTATTAAGTTGTGGGATAATATTAGAATGATAATATTATTTGATGTGAGCTTGTTTTAAAGGATAGAAGTAGTAGAAAAGGGGGTGTAGTAGTCTTAAGTCCATTAAGGTATTTTGAGAATAATAGGGTTATTTTATTATTGTTAGAAATAATAAGGAGAAAGAAGAAGCAGTAAGAAGAGAATGAAATAAGGATTGGAAGAAGAGAACGTGAAAGTTGTTGGAAAGGAGAAAAAGAAGCCGAACGAAAATCAACCGGAAAAGTTATAGAGCAACCTTCAATCCAAGGTAAGGGTGGGGTTCTGACTCTATAATAGGGTTTATGATGATTGGTTTATGGGATTAGATGTGAAAATGTTGTCTTGTTCATGATTTGAATGTATATGTTGTTGTATGATGAGAATCGATGAATTAAAGATGAATAATGATGCCCTAATGTTGTATATTTGATGTGGAATTATAGGATAATTATAATTGATGATTATCTATGATTAGAGGATGTTTTTAGGGCCTAAAATATGGAACCCATAGTGAAAACACAGTGAAATCGCAGAAAATATCCGTGACAGAACAATATGTGTCGACCCCAAACTTCATGCATCGGTACATGAAGGCTTTTAGACTCAGGATGAGTCGATACAAATGAGTCATGCATCGATACATGAAGACTTTTAGACTCAGGATGAGTTGATACGAAGGAGCATGTATCGACACATGCAGTGTTGAAGACTCAATATGAGTCAATAAAAGAGAGTATGCGTCGACTCATGTAGCATGTTAAGTCCAGTACGCGTCGACCCAAGGCATTACGCGTCGATCCATGTAGTCTGCTTTTTGATAGATTCGTTTTCCAGAGGTTGTAACTTGAGTTTTCGGACTCTGCTTGAGGTGTCGTTCGAAGCGTTGAATAGCTAACGCGATAAACTTTATTCTTAAGGATCAAAATGAAGAATATGAAGGATAATCCTAGTATCCAAATTAAGATTAGAGTTAGTTCATGCGTTAATCGCTATGTTGATTTTTGTGAAGAATGATGAGGATGAGATGATTATAGATTACTGTTTGGTTAGTAACAACAAGATTAATGATGATAATGATGTAGTATTACAGAATGAATAATATGTAGAGGCTTGGTAATTTAAAAGTAATCCTTAGATGAATAATTAATTATATGCAATATCATGTTGTAGGCCTATGGCCAATGTTGCGAGATTTATGATCTACTGTTGTATTGCTGTATGGCTGAGCTGTTGATGAATTATGCGATGATAAATAATGTTTGATGAATTATGTTGATCAATGATGTTGATGAATGATGTTGATGAAAGATGTTGAGATGCCTCTAATAATTGACAGCTATTAAGATGTAGGCTTTTGGCCAACAATGATGTTGTGTTGAGATGTTGTTAATTATGGTGTTGTCATTACATTCATGATTGTGTCGCATACATTGCATTTCAAGATGGAGCTTATGCTCGTTAAGATGGCCTGTATTGGTGAATATTAAGATGAAGGCTTATGCCTTGTTGATGCCTCTATTTATTGGCAATTATTTGAGATGGGAGTTCTGCTCCAATGGTACCACATGCATTCGCATAGTATTGAGTCACATTATATGATTGCATAAAGAAATTGTGTATTGATGCGGTGAATGTGTATATTGTTGGTATTCTGCTGCGATTATTATCGTTTATAAGATGAGAAGTGGTGATGTTATGTGATCTAATTTAATATATTAACTATCATACGTTTTATTATATTGTTAGACATCTCACCCCTTCTGTTTGAATGTTATCCTTACGTTAGTAACGTGCAGGTAATCCAGAGTGAAGGCTGTATACCTTCAGTAGTTCGAGTCGGTGTCATTGCTCTGATACGTAACACTCGGGGGGATGAACGCTTGTTGCTTTTAATTATTGATTATTTCAGTCGTTGAACTTTACTTTGATTATTGCTGAGTATGTGTTGTTTTGAAGTTGCTCTAATGATGGATAAATATGTTATTAAGAATTCCGCTGCGTAGATGTTTAAATTGTTGAATTGAGAGATTAAATTACTATTGATAGTACATCCGAAGTTTTAAAGTGTTATGTATCCACGTTGAATGCAATGTGTTTTTAAAGTTGAATTTATGGCATCCTGATTTAGTTGCATGCATTTTATGACTCTGATTTACATATATGATTTACATATATACATATTTTATTGATTGACAATATAAAAATATTTATTGTATATTCTATTTGATAAAAAAAGATTTGTACCATCAATCAATTATTATCATATATTTTATTAAGTTATTCTGATAATTTTTAAATGAATTACAACATAGCTAATTGATGAATTCTTATTAAATGATAATATAAAATTATTTTATAATGTTGATACAGTATTTTTAATCTTATTCTATTTTCTCATTTTCATAACCATACTCAAATTATATTTCATAAAAATATCTAAAAATATTTAAATGAAATATAAAAGTCTCTTCTAATTTAATAAAAAAAAAATTGATTTAAACTAAAAATAAAATAAAATTTTATAAAATATATGAAAGAGGAAAACTTGGTTATGAAGAAACGAAGAAGTAAAACAAAATAAGGGAATAGATTCAAGACTTGTTTGGGAGGGGATGATGCATTATCATCTCATCTCATGCGTTGCCTAAAACGACTATGATGATACCAAACATTGCCGTGTCAAAATAGATCTCTATGTTTCCACGTGTCGCTATGTAATTCGCAGAGCTACCTTTACTTTTACGCAGTCTCAAATCATTTGAAGCTATAAAATCAAAAGCCCCGTAGCGCAATATTCATATCAACTTTCGTTTCGTTGCAGTGAAAAGAAATCCTAGCACACAGATTCAAGGTATCTTCTTTCCCTCTTATTAGATTTCGATTGTTAGGGTTTTGCATTCTCACGATTAGTTTATCATTGGATCTATTTTGATTTAGTTTTTCATATTCAATTGTTAGGGTTTTGTCTTATCTTTTAATCGACTGATGAATATGTTTGCTTTGGTTTTAATTTAATCGTTTACGTGATGTGCTATCAATAATTCCAATCCCATGTTTGGGAAACTTTTCTCTGATTAATTGGCCAATTTGTTTCAATTGATTATTGATTTGTATGTTTTTTTGGTTGTTTCTGATATTGTAGATGCAAATTTTCGTTAAGACCCTCACTGGCAAGACCATCACTCTCGAAGTTGAGAGTTCAGATACCATAGACAATGTTAAGGCCAAGATTCAAGACAAGGAAGGGATCCCACCTGACCAGCAGCGTCTCATTTTTGCCGGCAAACAACTAGAGGATGGCCGTACCCTTGCTGATTACAACATACAGAAGGAATCTACACTCCATTTGGTGCTCCGTCTCCGTGGTGGGATGCAAATCTTTGTGAAAACTCTCACTGGAAAGACCATCACCCTTGAGGTCGAGAGCTCTGATACCATTGACAATGTCAAAGCCAAGATTCAGGATAAAGAGGGCATTCCACCCGACCAACAGAGGCTTATCTTTGCTGGCAAACAGCTTGAGGATGGCAGAACTTTAGCAGATTACAACATTCAGAAAGAGTCAACTCTCCATCTTGTGTTGCGTCTTCGTGGTGGTATGCAGATTTTCGTCAAGACTCTTACTGGCAAGACAATTACTTTGGAGGTAGAGAGCTCAGACACTATTGACAATGTGAAGGCTAAGATACAGGACAAGGAGGGTATTCCCCCAGACCAGCAGAGATTGATTTTTGCGGGAAAGCAGCTTGAAGATGGCCGAACTTTGGCCGATTATAACATTCAGAAGGAGTCCACCCTTCACCTTGTTCTTCGTCTGAGGGGAGGTATGCAGATCTTCGTGAAGACTTTGACCGGAAAGACCATTACCTTAGAGGTAGAAAGTTCAGACACCATTGATAACGTGAAGGCAAAAATACAAGACAAGGAGGGAATCCCACCAGATCAGCAGAGGTTGATCTTTGCTGGAAAGCAATTGGAAGATGGAAGGACCCTTGCGGATTACAACATTCAGAAGGAGTCTACACTTCACCTAGTTTTGCGCCTTCGCGGTGGAAGTTAAGTATGTGAATGTTGCGTATCCGTCTTATAATGTGTTGAACTTCTTCTATATGTCTTCAGTTTTTATGTTTCAGAACTTGTGTATTAGGCCTTAATGGCCCTGGAAAACTATGGTTTGAAGTGTTGTGTATGATTCTCTTCTAGTTTTACTTAATGAATGTGACAGTTTGCTCTTAATAAATAAGTGCTCTTTGTTGTTTGTTATTATATCTGAGATTCCAAAAATTACTGGGATTTCATTATTGCCAAGTTTGAAATTTGGTTAACCATAAAATTGAGAATGTATAAGTTTTCTATTATCCTGGGCGGTAGACATATCTTTCAGTTAGGGAGAAGTATTTGTCACATTTGTAATATTGTATTTGATCTAATGATTTTAATGATAGACATCTGAGGATGCAAATTTCATGTTAGGAAATGGGGAGGACACATTTGTGTGGCTAGGTCCTTGGTATGAGAACTTATCTTTTAAGGATAGATTCCCTGTATGCAACCTGTCAAGAAAAAAATTTAAGAGTAAAGGATCTGGCATATAGGTACAGGCCAATGGAGCTTCAACTGGAATAGGGATTTATCTCAAGACGTGTCCACCTTCTGCCCGAGGGAATAATTGAATCCTGTCCTTTGCTTCTCAGCTATTTCAATGACAGAATTTTAACCTTTTCAACTAAATGCTCAGCCAATCTATCCTTTTTTCTCTAAAAATTGATTCATTCCGTCCTTTCCAAATTACCCATATGCTAGCGTACCAAATAACATTGAATTTTTCTGTCTTATTTCTGTCCGATCCAGACAGCCCGCTGAGTTGCTGAAAGTTTGGTATAGGTGAGTTGTGCATCGCAGTAGATATGCTTAACCATCGGATGATCGCCGACCACACCTGCAAGTTTAAACACATTCAAAAAATATGAAAAACACTTTCTATTGACCTGCAATCATATGAACATTTCAAATGAGAGCCTTTCAACACTCCTCTTTTGTGAAGGTTATACTTAGACTGCTACCTTTAAAAGGATTGAGCAGCCCAAGTCAGTGCTTGGGGTTTGTCGAATGAACTTTCAGTTAGGTTCAGGTCTGAGCTGCGTCTGTAGATACACCAAGTTCGGTGGTCATAGTTCTCTTCGTCCAAATTTTCGAGAGCATTGCGGCTGTCCTGAACTTGTTTGGGTGCTGCTGTTATATCAGTTCGGTGTGGCGGGATTCTCCGGGTTTCTAAGATGGTTTGGCTTTCAGTTTTGCTTTGATGTTATTCTCCGGGTTTCTAAGATGGTTTGGCTTTCAGTTTTGCTTTGATGTTATCTTTTGGTTGGTTCATCTCAGTTTTAGACTTGGTGGTACCATTGGAGTTGTTTAACTTCTGTTGTATTTAGGTGTTTAATCGTTTTGGTGTTTTGCTGCATTTTTTTATTGCTGTCTGTTATGTGCTTGACTTTGTATGCACTTCTTGTGCTGTATTTATGATATATCTTGTGGCTGTTTAAAAAAAAATTCATGTTAGAAAGCTAACCGTTTTCTCTCGTTGTTTACTAAAAAAGCTTAAACTTCAATCCCAAAAAAGACAAGCTTAAACCTGATTTATTATCCTTGTTCGGAGGATAATTCATGCCAAGTACTGAATTTGATACCGCTTTTCTGGATGACATCATTCACTCATGGAGCACCATCTTAATATATATTCCCCACAACATACATGATATGAATGATGGTGTGAGCAAGAGAGAGAATATAGCGTAGTGGAAATGACAAGGTCAAACTGAATAGGTAACTGCTCTACTCTTATACATATAAAACAAGGCACAAGACATGCCTACTACAAAATAGCATCCAAGACTATCTAATACCATTACAAATAGCATATCAACCCATACATTCCAATTCTCCCACCAAGATTAATTGCTACTATTAATTAATTTCGACATTCCATTGCTACTCAAAATCAACGGCGTCTACTCTGATGCCGTATTGGGTCCAGCAAATTATATGTCCCTCCTATTCATTATTTTAGTTGCTGTGTCCAATAAATCTACTCCATGTTTCTGCATTTTTTTGGGCTCTTCCCTCATCAATTGGATATCTAAAAAGAAGACACAGTTGCACAATCATCTGATTGACCTCTGAGCTCCTATGGATGAAGGAAATGTTGCACACCTTTGAAGTCCAATGTAGTTTTTAATGTATAATACTTGTACGTCTAGACCAGATGTTACAAGTGTACTCTCACGAATCAGCATCGTGCTACTGTGAAGTTATGAAATATGTGCAATAAACTGCATAGTGGAAGCGCATAGGTGATTGTTTCTGCTTTAGATCAGGTGGTTTTTATGCTGGAGTGGATAAACGCATTTGTTGCAGTACATTGTCTCTTGTTTGGTTTACACTCAACGAAGCATTCATTATAATTTTTTGGAAGAGAAGCAACAACTTTATTTATACATTAACATTACACATATTACATCATCATATATCTCTTACATAAAACACAAATTGAAGCAACAGAGCAAGTAATAAAGCTCATTCTGAGTTCAACCAGAAATCTCAATGGACTTAACTTCAGGCTTCTTGATCTCTTCCTTAGGAACAGTCACAGTGAGAACGCCATTCTCCATGGAAGCTTTCACTTGATCCATTTTAGCATTCTCAGGCAATCTGAACCTCCTCAAGAACTTTCCGCTGCTACGTTCCACGCGATGCCATTCGTCGTTCTTGTCCTCTTTCTCAACGTTCCTCTCTCCACTTATCTGAAGAACTCTGTCGTCTTCGATTTCAACTTTCACTTCCTCCTTCTTCAGTCCAGGGAGATCAGCCTTGAACACGTGTGCTTCTGGTGTTTCCTTCCAGTCAACTCGTGTGCTCACGAACGCAGAGTTCTCACGAGGGAATGAAGCAGAAATTGCAGAACTGGAAAATGGAAAATCCTTCAAGGGGTCCCAAATGTCGAGGGAGAATGGATCGTATACGTTGCTCCTTCGGTTGCCAAAGAAACTTGGAATCAGCGACATGTTTGATGTATAGTTGTTGAAAACTCTGTAAATTAGAATTGATTATCGATGTCTGGTGTGATTCACATTATTCAAAGGCTTGTGGTATTTAAAGGAGATGGAAGAATAGTCTTGACTTATCGAGAAAGTGCTGCTACTTTATTTATTTTGTCACGGAGTCTTGAACATTCTAAAACATTCTCGAGTTCTCTACAGACATCCAAAATGCTCTAGATTTTGTTTTAATTATTCAGCAATAAATGTGGGCTTGGATTTTGTTTATGAAAGAAAATAGGTTTGGGTTTTGAAGTTAAGAATTTAGTTTGTCACCTTTCAGATAAAACATTGACCCCTCCACATATTTTTTTAATCCTTCGATTGCCCTTAAACAAAATTTAGTGGAAAAAGAATAAGAGAAATTTCCGATAGTTAAGTTAGAATTTTCAATAAAAAATAAAATTTTCAGAGGTGCAATTTAATATTGTCGATATTAAATAATTTTGAAAATTTGAAATATCTGATATCTATAAAATCATATTGATAATTTAAAATTTTCATCAGTTATAATTTTATCATCAATTTTGTACGATTGTAATCGCACCAACTATTTTATGTGGTCCATAATAAATTTAAATTTGTATAATTAGGGGTCATGCGTTGTTAAGAAAAATATGTTAGAATGTTTCCATCGTTCAGAATTTGCTCTTATGAGTCGTGAACATTGTGCCAAAAGGACGATCCGACCGTTGGATTGTGAGAACACTCTGATCTTTTGGAAGTGATTTATGCATAAAAGGGGATGCGGGAATAGTGTTTTCTCTCCAATCTACATCCATTTGGGCCACTCCAAATAAGAGGGAAAACTAAGCAAACTCTTTCGACCGACTAGTTGGAGCGAAATACCAATCTGACTTCCATACGAAAAAACTCAAACTTTTCCCTAGGCAACGCCTCCGTCAATATATCTGAACCATTGTCATCAGTGTGAATCTTCTCAAGCTCCATCAATTTAGAATGTAATGCATCACAAATCCAATGATAACAAACATTAATATGCTTCGACCTCGAGTGAAAGGAGGAGTTCTTCAATAAGTGAGTGACACTTTGATTATCACAAAATGAGACTTACTTTTCTTGTTTCACACCAAGTTCTATTGCAAATTTACTCAATCATAACAACTCTTTTGACGCTTCCACGACGACTATAAACTCGTCTTCGGTAGTAGAGAGTGTAACACACTTTTGCAATTTTGATTGCCAAGCCACGGCTCCCCCGACAAAAGTCACCATATACTCCAAAGTAGATTTTCGATCATCTAAGCTTTCGGCTAAACCCAAATATGTATACTAACCAACATAGGCTTCTTTCATCCCAAGGTTAGCTTCAAATTTGACGAGCCACACAAATATCTCATCACCCACTTCACGACCTCACAATGATCTTTTCCTGGATTTGAGAGATAACGACTCACCATTCCCACGACATGAGAAGTATAGGGTCTTGTACAAACCATAACGTACATTAAATTACCAATAGTCGAAGAGTACATACTGTTCTCCATACTCAACTTTTCTTCATCCGTAGATGGACATAGTTTATGACTAAGCTTGAAATTAGAAGCGAATGGAATGCTCACTGCTTTAACCTTATCTATACTAAAATGCCGAAGGAATTTCTCCATATACATTTCTTGTGACAAGTACAACTTCTTCACATTTCGACCTCAAACAATTTCAATACCAAGAATTTTCTGAGCCTCTCCTAAATCCTTCATAGAAAAATATTCACTCAAAGTGTTCTTCAACTCTTTAATTATTAATACATTATTTCCAATAATTAGCATAGCATCCACATAAAACAAGAGAATAATAAAATCACCTTCGGAGAAATATCGGAAAAACACACAATAATTGGCCTTGGTCATCTTGTACCCATGTTCAATCATCACCGAGTTGAACTTTTGATATCACTGACGAGGTGCTTGATTCAAACCATAAAGACTCTTTACCAATTTGCAAACATAATCTTCTTTTCCCTTCTCTCGAAATCCATTTGGTTGCTCCATTTAAATTTCCTCACGTAGATCACCGTGAAGGAAATCCGTTTTCACGTCCATTTGCTTTACTTCTAAATCAAGACTAGCGACTAGCACAAGAACCACTCGAATAGATTGCATCTTCACAACCAAAGCAAAAATCTCGCCAACGTCAACACCTTCGCGTTGTTTAAAACATTTTACCACCAAGCGAGCCTTGTATCTTATTTGGGAAAACACCCTTCTTTCTTAATCTGATAAACCCATTTATTCTTCAATGCTCTCTTACCGTTTGGAAAATTCACTAATTCAAAGATATTATTCTCTTGAAGTGGTTGCATTTCATCCTCCATGACATCCATCCACTCCTTTTTGTTCTCATCCTCTAAAACTTATTTAAAGTTTTTGGGTTCTCCACCATCAGTAAGAAAAACATACTCATTTGAGGGGTATCAAACAAATGGCCTTTTATCACGAGTAGACCACCTTAACTCATTAGAAGAATCTGATTGCTCAACACTTTCAACTTCTTGATCAACCTCATTTTCAATAATGTTTTTTCGTAGCACCTACATCAACTACATCATTAGGTTTTAAAACATTATCAACATTCAAATCCATACCTTGATTTTCAATTAGAACATCTTCAAAAGTGATAGGGGTAGGAGCAATAGTAGTTGAGTATATATCAACCATTTCTTCATCTTCAAAATTCGGATCTTTATTCTCAACTTTGTTGATATCCTCAATGGTATAATCCTCCATAAATACAACATCACAACTACGAATAAGCTTCCACTGAGCCGGATCAAGAATCAATACCCAAACTCATCAAGTCCATACCCAACAAACACATATTTCTTTGACTTCTCATCCTCTGAAATATGCACATAAGCCATGCACCCAAAAAACCGAAGATGGTCGCAGGAAACATATTTACCACTCCAAACATGATTCAGAACATCAAACTTAAATGGAACACATAAAGTGAGGTTTAAAAGTTGTACAATTATGCTTAATGCTTCTTCCCAAAAGTATTTTGGCAACTTTGATTGAGAAAGTAAACATCTTACCCTTTTCACCAAAGTTCTATTCATTCTTTCGGATAACCCATTTAATTGTGGTGTATTTGGAGGAGACTTTTGATGACATATACCTTGATCTTGACAATACTTGTCAAAAGGTCCAACATACTATCCCCCGTTATCGGTTCAAGTACACTTGAGCCTTTTCCCCGTTTCTCTTTCAATCGATGCTTGAAATGACTTGAAGGTATCTA